AATAGAGAAATAAAGAAGAAATCACGAACAACGAAAGGAATTTTTGGCACATTGTTTCACTTAAAATCTGCAAAATATTAACATCTACTTTTGTCCCTGTTTTGCTCTCAGTCAGTTAATAACAACGTAGAACCCGGCACGTTTGTACATCGATTCAAATCGTTATACCTCATTAGCACAAAGAGATGTTGTCAGGTCAAATTCCAGAATAGTAGAGACGGTAACAGTCCAGAATCTGCCGAAAGGTAAATGTTCATTCTATAAATCTACGACTAGGTCTGAGACGAATCTAGTTTTCTCTCGTTTGCTATTCACGAGGTCTAGTTAAACGTCGAAGTGTTATTGAGGCTAATATTTTTGATACTATATTAATTAAAGTGATTCCTATGATTGTAACAAGATGAATTTTATCTTTTCTTATAAACTGAATTCGAGACCCGTTAGATGGCATTACGTCCAGTCCCCAGATTTTAGTTAATGTAATTGGTAAAACTGGACCGACATCCCTAAAAATATCAGGGGTTAGTCCATTAGAATCTGCTGCTTTCCCTCGCTTTAGATTACTTATAGCCTTTTCAAACTCACTAAGAGTTGGGGAACTTACATTAGTTCGTTCTTCAGGTTGCTTTGAGATAATGGGTTAGTTAATTGTGACTGAAGAGTAGTTGAACTAATCTATGGGAGAGAACAAACCAGATCCCAACGGAGGAAGAAATCGGGAAGAAGCGCCGGAATTGGATAGGACACCCAACTGCATCACAAGGAAAGCCTTTGCTTGGAATCCTCAAAACCAAAGGAGAAGAGGAAGACCAAAGAATACATTACACCAAGAAATAGAGACAGACATGAGAAGAATGAACAAGAATTGGATAGAACTGGAAACGAAGGCTCAGGACAGAGTGGGTTGGAGAATGGTGGTCGGTGGCCTATGTTCCATTGGGAGAAACAGGTGTAAGTAAGAGTAAGTATAATCATAAATTATCGACGATTACTTATTCCCGTATTGTTTAGTTTGCTTACCATCTGACTTAATGATTCTTTATTTGATGTGTGCTACAGTCTCCTAGTTTATGTATAAATAAACTCGTGTTTGAAATATAATATAATAGGAGTTTTGTCTGTTTCCTCTGTCTCTGGATCTGAGTGAATACCGAGCTACAGAGAAACATGCATCTTGGACCGATAAGCTTTAAAAATGTCCTTGGTCACTACTCAAAGTTAGTTGTTAACGATCAGAATGTATTACTACTGGTCAAAACTACGACTGTTGACCTATCGGTGCAAAGTATACTCAGATTGGCTGATTATAGATTGTATTCACATTATTAAAATCTTATCTAGTGGTTTCGATTAAACGACACAGAAGACTTAAGATTAATAAGAATTAGTAATCAAAACTCATAAGTTGATATTAATTATAGTTATTCAATATATAGCATAATAGTTAACAATAATAACTAATAAACTAACTCAGTACTAGTGATTGAAACAACTGCTGGTTGAACATCTTGAGCAACATCGGCAACCACGTCTAGAGCTTTAATTGCAGCTTGTCTATCTTTAGACATTGGTTTTGCAATTTCTGCACATTTTACAACTAACGGAGTACTATATACAAGATGAGAATTTTGTTGAGCATCATTTGAATCCTCATTGTCGTGACAAATTTTTGCAAGAGCTGTGGTCAACAAAATTGATTTGAAAAATAGACTTGTTTGATGAGTATCACTGTGTTGATTCTGTCTATTCGACTGATTTGATGAATAGTTACTTTGTGGTGTAACAAATGATTGGAATGCATATACATTCCATAAAAATCTCTTATTGAAGAGACGAGAAGAGTTTCTTGTAAACTGCTGATTTACAGTATTCGGAAAAAGAATTAAGAAGGACAGTCACTTAAAATAGGTAGCTATAAATAGTATAACTGAAAATTTAAAATGAAACATACGATAAACAATCGAATGTAAGGAGATTACAAGATAGTTATAAGCATACTTTTAAGATTTCTAAATAATTGGCTTGAATTAACGCAAATATTCTTAGATTTACTTCTTAGTGACACTGAAGAAACTAGTAATCTTAAACTCCATCCTCGTTTTGGCTTGATGGATAGGCCAGTTACAAAGTTTGATAAAACAAAAAATATTACTCATTAGATCGAAAAATTCAAGTTTCTCATGATATGCATCTACTCATGTATAATTTGGATGATGATTGAGAGTAATAAATAATCAATTGTTGGTTATAAAACTCCTGTAAGCAATGTAAATTAACTCATTTATCAAGTAGAAGTTTATGTATTCGGGTTTTAGTATAATTTTTGTTATGCGATGTCTCCCCAAAATGAAGTACAGGAGATAAGTTCAACTTTCTGATCTAATGACTGAAAGTCAAAGATTTTAAAAATCAAACTACCCTTTTATTAATGTTGAAATCAATTCGGAAATATTCAGTTGTTTTATACATAAAAGCTTATCACACCTATCGAAATAACCTGGTAAAATTTACCAGACTATATTTTTATTAACTATTATGTTACTGATGAATAAGAACAAATTACTTATTTAGAATATTCTTCAATTCTAGGATAAGCAACTGTTTTTATTGCATTTGAAGTCGAATAAACAACCATAACTGAGAATATAAAATGAACTTATTAAATTCTCATTCACGAATTTGAACTAATTAAGATAAGTTAAAAAGTAATTTCGAAATAAAAATTAAAAAAGTATTTACATGCGAGGCAACTAAACATGATGGATACAACACGAAATCTTTCAAAACTTAGTCCTTAAAGGTTTTTCGAAATATTTCATAATGAAAGGAAATAAGTACAAACATTGACCGGTATCTTCAGTGTTTTATTGATAACTTTTATGGTGTACAGTAATTACAACTGATGTTGGAGCGGATATTTAAATGGAAAAGTAGTTGAGTTCAAATTCAACTATGATTTGTAAAACCAGATGTAGTCATACTGTTTATATCGATAAATTTAGGACGGAAATTTTGCAGACATTCAAAACTGCAGATTATAATCTATGTTATCTAAGGAGAGACGAATAATTCCTTATTAACTGTCCAAGTGTTTAGTATGAAAATTCAGTCTCTAGCTAGTCATTATTTCAGCAGCGCAGTTTTGATTAAAAGCTATCGTTTCAGTGTTGGACAAAAACAAAAACGAGTTGTATGACACTCAACTCTTACTGTGGTTTAGCCTTACCTAAGCAATTATTAGTGAGGGTTTAATCGAGTGTATTGAATGGACAATAACGTTTGTGGTTATACTATCAATAAAAAAATTGAACAACCATCCGCAAAAAATCTCTAAGATAACATATATAAGCTTACTGAACCAAAAGACAAGTATCATAATCAGGGTACTATACTCAACCATCCAATACTAGCTTTTAAGCTATACTGTAAACTCATTTTACATTATCATTCAAATTGTAATGTATTTTTATCGGTTTAATTATCTGTATATGGAGTTTCTGACGATTGAAATATTCTTCTGATGCTGAAACAAAAGCAATGTTTTGGTTAGGGACTAACTTTAAATCTTTACAGACCTGATTCATTAGGTGATGAAGCACTAATATTCACAATTCTCTAATACTCGATAGCCATTCCAGGTTTTTGAAATCCACACTGTCAGAATCATGGGTTTTATTTAGTCAATGTTTTCTAAGTTTCTATATGAAGATGGACGTCCTATATATCAGTCATGTTATTCGTTTACCAAAGACAAGTCTATGTACTCAGTCCTGAATTACATTGTTAGTGTGAAGGCTAGTAATACTACACGGTTGTTTAAACCTAAGTTGGTGGAGGAGGTTCGAACCTGCAACCAATTGGTTTGAAGTCGTTGTAAGAATTAGGCTGCTATTTCACATACCTGACTCATCCTCGGGTACTCCTACCCGATTTTATGAGGAAGCAAAGAACCACACATGTCTATTCCAAACTACATGTAAGCAAACAGTTAAACCACTTATCAATGTGGCTTAAAACCAAACAGTCGATTAACTGTACTCTCATTAGATCTCATTGGGATTCTTTTCAAAAAAGCACACTAAGAGAAGCAAGTAATACGAATGAGTTACTTTATTCTCAAATTATTTTTGCTGATATAGATGAGCTAAGTTGATCTTTTGAACTGAAACGCTTTAAATCTCAAAAAAGAATCAATGTATGCCTAGAGTGAGTACATCTACATAGTTTATTTGAAACCTATAAAAAAATAGATAACAAGTTTCAAAAATCAGTCTATTACTAGAATGTCAGAATTACAGAGATAAGATTAAATTTCAGATTTAATTAATAGAATTACCTCATGAATTTGAGAATAAACTAACACTAACTAGAGAAAATAGTGTTTTTTGCTTGAATTAGCCGTGTTTATTCAAATGTAGTGAAATTGAGACATGTTGTAAGAGACTGAACCTAATAAGGGTAACCAGAAAAGCCATTTCCAAAAGTAAGATTTCAATGACTACAGTCATTTCACATCGCAGACCACTTAATTAGTGCACACCCACAATATTCAAGTCTGGTAGTGAGCACTTAACTCATAGACCATTCTGAATCGGAATCATGTGTTCCACATTTCCAACTTCAGTTAATCCGCCATGTAGCGCGGAAATCATCTAGTTCCAATGACAAAGACTGTCTTAATCCTGATATAGTCGTACTCCATATTGGAATGAAACAATCATTCTGTGGTTGCCTTTAGGTTTGATACTATCCTAATCCGATATCGATTATTGACAAAAGAAACCACCCACAATTTAGATTAATCTTCGTAAGATATCTGAACTCAGATAATTGGGATGATTCACTTCAGCAATGTGACAAATAAAACAATGTGTTAGACAAGAAAAGCACAGTTATTATTTAATTGCTGATATACATTATACTGTATCAGTCAGTCACAACGTAGAACATGAAATTGTGTAACGATAATAACTTCAACAATCAGATAAAAAGAATAATGCTTAGTCAGTAGATAGTATATTTGAAATCTACTGCTTATAATAAATGAATACATTAAACAAATGTGGTAGTAGTAATAATCATTATATATATAGTAAAGGTTGTAGAAAGACTGTTGTTTCATTAAAGAAAACAATGAACTCATAAAACGATATCGAACAAAATGCTGAGCATCATGGTATACAGTTAGTTAATTGTAGAAAAAACGAACTGAATAGAAACCCGATAAATTTATGTACAGCAAGAAGAACAAAAAAACTTACATAAGAGTAAAAAAATAGATACATACATACATAATACAAAAAACCAATGAGAAAATTATATAAAGCATTGATTGGAAAAAGTGGAAACCAAGCAGAAAATAAACAAGAACAGAAAACAGATTGTTTTAAAGTATACAAAACTATTTATTAATATTGATGTGAGATTCTACATAACATTAAAGGGAAAAAACACATTTTCCCAATTACTATATGATAAGATAAGCAATAAAATATATTACAATTAATAATATTTCTATTTTTTAAGAAACAATAAAGAATGAACATAGAGTTTAAATTATGTACAAAGTGGATTTAAACTTTTAAAGGTTGAATTAATTTTATCATCACAATTTTAAGGAGATTTAGCATCAAAAGCTTCTAATTCTTTGAGTATTTTACGACGTTCTTTCAATGCTTTCCATGAGATATCACGATCACGTTTCAATGGAGGTTTACGATGCGGACGATAACTTTCTAGTTTATTATAAGCTTCAATAACCTGAATAATTAAAAAAAAAAGAAGTATTTTATTTACAAATTTATTAGTAATATTACAAATTGTACAAGTACTTCTTTGAACTCAGTAAACAAAACTACACCTAAATCATCCACCTGGGCTACAAAGCTTCTCGAGCACTTCAAATAAAAGGAAGAGAGAGAGAGATGTGTCAACGTATGTGCGTATCCTCACTACTACTGGAATTTAAAAATAATCTATTAGATTATGCAGTCTCAAGCATCAAAACTGTGTATCTTTTAATAGAGATGTTGAGATATGGTGTCTAAATGGATTATTCCACTTATTCGTTAAAATACTTTTTAAGTATTAACCATGTCATTTACAAACAGTATTTACTCGTTTATTGGATTACTGGTATGTGGTAGTAAAAATGAAATATGATTTTCCACTGAGTGTGAAGAAACAGACACAGCCTACTGACCACTAAATATGTAATCTTCCTTCCTGTTATTGACTTCTACTCCGGACTCACTGACAGTGATTGCCTGCAATTGTGCTGAACAGAATATTGTTTAGTCTATACTCTGGTTCTCTATTCTAGGTCGTGAATACTGGATCTGATATAACGGGACATATCTTATTATCATATTAACGTATTATCGCAGTATACTCGAGCGAGAGATAAATATTTTAAACTATCCGTTATATCAATTACATTAATGAAAAGAATCATTTGTATTCAACATAATGTAAAAAAAATGATAATAAAAAAAAAACACAAAGCTTATTTCGTCTATTTATTAACATATAACTATGTTTCACCAAGTTGAAATGAGGTAGGGAAAGTTACCAAGAGACAATAAGGTGTTATTTAAAGGAAATCGATGTAAAGCTAATTTGGAAGGGGAGATATCTTTTTCGTTCGACTTTATTTATCTAAACATAGAAACATTGGTTCAAAAAGGCACCGAAATGTATATGTGCCACACAAATCATTTATCATTAAATTTATGTGCGTTGGGATAGTGCCCGGACCGAAACAGATGAGATTTTAGTGGGCTACACTCGTATACGGTGGGGTGACATTAGAGATGAAATCTCAAACAATAGGCTCATACACCATTTGTTCCTCAAGATCCAGAAGCCCAGTGGACCAATGGTTTGGATTCAAGAATTTCCAACTTTCATAGGCGGATCCTCCGTACCTACCAACCTGGCTCAAGCCCCGGACATTAGCTTTTCGTCCTCTTAATTTCGTAAACACTCACGCCACGAGGAGTAAGTAGGACTTCCATGGGAGAGACTATATACTCATGACCATAAGAGAAAATTTGGAGAGGACGAGAAGGCTCTTTCCACCCTCGAGCGTACCAGAGTGTTTTGTGGCTTTTTCTGACTTAATTGTTATTATAGTAACTTTTGATAGATCGTCCGTTGTATGAACATAATATATACACAAAATTTTAAATAAGGAAAGAACGATAATACTTAGTGTCGTCATTTTGCAGTTTCAGCAGTGGATCATAATATTCTTCTGTCATGATTTCGGGTCGAAAAGACGGTGTAATATGAAAACTTTATAAATATTGTCGTTATTGTTTTGTTGAAACTTGTAAATGAAACCAATGTAATTGTATACATGAAGGTGTACACAATTTCATTAGTCTTGTAAACTTTATCGAATAAATTCGATTCATTGACTTGATATCTTCTTGGGTAAATCAACTAGTCAAGTGAGCACCGGGATCATGTGATCTAAAACAAAATTATGACCAAAACTTACTATAAAAAAACTAACAGCTTTGAACTTACATCAGCGTCTGCGATCGCTAGACGCCTTTGTATTTCTTGGCGTTGCATATCTCTTCTAGCTGCCTGTACGAGTCGTCGAAGCATTCGATGGTTTGCCGTGCATAACAATCTCAACTCCCGTTGACGTTGAACAATAGCCCAGCCAATATCATCAACAGCACCAGATCCATACTGTGTAGTTGCTGTTGATGGAGTATCTTGACTAAAGAACATATGATTTTGAATCACTGTGTTGATACCACAGTCCAGTGACTTTGAATCGTTATGCTGGATTATAGGAGAAGCTTCATGACTACTTTTCCCTGTTAAATCATTTGTTTTATTTGTCCTTTCTGCCCAGTCGGAATCTATTTTGAATTTGAGTTGACCATTTTGAAGTGGAGAAGTAAATTGTTCATTATTTTGGTTCAAGGAACTGTGTAAGTTGGAATCTAATACCTTGAGGAAAATTTAGAATAAAATTCTTATCTAATTAAAAAGTACTTCATAAACATTTTAAAGTAATATTAAATGAATTTATGTAGATGTCAACCACGAATTCGGAAAGTGTTTTATAGATACAGTAGAAGTTATCATGACAAAAACGATGTGCTATAAAGCTTAAGGAAGGTTTGATACTTAAACTAACTAAATGTTAATGGCTTTCATGAAATGAAGTAGAATAAAGCCAGTTTCATCCAACAAGAATATTAACAATATGACTCAGCTAAATTCGAATGACAAATCTCAAATAGAATGAAATGCTCATATTGAATTGCTCTTCGGTGAACCATTATTCCAATATATAATCAACTAAAGTGGGATGAATGGTTTATGTTACGAAATGAAATCTGTCAGACAAACATTAGATAAAAGGACGATAGAATAGTTGTTTTGTCCTAGTGTGGGACTCCTGGACAGCGCCCATCCACAACCCCAGGACCTCCAGATCTCACGATAAGCGCTTAACCTTAAGGCGAGTGGGTTAGTAATCGATGTTTTACATTTTTTATTGCAATTAATTTGACATGATGCACAACCACCTTACAGTATGATAGATGGATAGTTACCAAACATCCAATATGGTTGGACTTCTCGAAATTTGTCACTGGTAATCACAGGATTATTATTAATATAATGGGTTTGTGGGTACACGCTTCCGGGGAGTCGCATTCTACGATGAAATAGATGTCAAGTGCTTCTTGGTTTCCAATGACTGTCTATATAACCAAGGTTAATTCCAAAGCACAACCTAAACTTATTAGGATTTAAATGAGCAGAAAAACACAAAAGACATGTAAGTGAAAGTAAATCGACATAGTGGTAGTAAGGAATCAGCTATTCTTAGTAGTTTGGATTAGAGCATACATGTTAACAATAGCAAATGTCTAGTTATACATATTTTTAATTCATTTGTATTGGCTGCTCGAAACTTCCTGTTGCTGTTGAGGACTGGAATCGGTCAATGAACATCAATTCTGGGATGCAGATATATCCAGCTAACGAGCCCCAATTGAGACGGAACACGCAAACTGGTTTTCACTGCTAGCCACCTTTATAAATTTTATTGAAAACAATTTATTTTCATAAATGGAAATGTATTGCTACAATTGGGTGTAATCTGAGTTTGAATGTCTTTTATTAAATGACCGACTGTTATTTTACAATCAATGGAAGACCAGTCATCATTTAGGTTGCCCAATATAAATACTGATCACTGAATCTCGTCTCTTATTTTGTATTTAATTATTACTATAAAATCCCTTGGATCTGATTTTTCAAGATATTGACCTGGTGTTTGGAAACATTTTAATTAACTGTTACAGCGTAAGCATAGTGATAAAATGATTACTTTTCTCTATTTTAAGTAAAGATAAGTTAGACAATGTATTATGTGGTTGGACGTAATCAGTACGAAACTACAGAACTATGTCTTGTGCTCAGTAAAGAATTGCTGTAATCTTGGGGAAACCGATATTCCGCATGGGATTTAAACCTAGATCACCTAAGTTAATAGTCTGAGTCATCAGTAAGATTCAAGCAACATTAAAAGATGAGACTTGACGCTGCCCAGTAACTCAGTGATTAATCATGTAGACTATACAACGTTTTGTTATTATTAAAATCAACCATGCTTAAGTTCATGTAGTGATTATTTTTGCATGCTTGGTTAAGGCAATTGAAACAGGTTTCTCATATTTAAGAAAGTCAACTTAAATGATAGGAAGAATTTACCTGAGCTGTTTCACAATCCCCCTCAAAAGTATTACAATTCGAATTCGGTTTATCACCTAATCTATCATTTTCCGTCAATTTTTCACTGTGAAATTCAGATAGTGATAAATCACCATTTACGAGAACTGGTTCATGATTTTCTAACGACCCATATAGAGGATTACTGTCCGTATTACAATGAGATCCAGATAAATTGTTCGGTGAAAAACGATTATGCCTTAGAGAATGGTGGATTTGTTTAGGACTTGTTGGATCAATTGGTCGCTTTTCATTTTCCGTCGACAATTGAGTAGTGAAACCATTACGACTGCGTGGACTGACATTAATATGTGGATCGTGTTTTCCTGGAGGATTATCTAGGTCACTAAAATATTCAGTGTCGATGGTAGGAAGATTTGGATCAGGATGAGAGTTAGGAATGCAATCCTTGAATTTAATAAAAAACAAAACAATATAGGTGTGAGAATATTATTGAAAAATGTGTTATTCAGAGCAATTCACATTCAATATATGAATAGATGGATATTTACTGAAGGGACCGATTGTTCATAACATTTATAAATTTACAAAATACACTTCATGGAGGAAATCAAGATCATATTCACAGTATTTAAGAAATTACAAGTCTTAGGTAAAACAAAAGAGTGGCCTCGATCAAATCAACCGCTCCCGTGGAACAAGTGAATAGGTATCATGGACACACATTAGATTGGTCATTCGTGGCAAATTACCTTTCGTATGGAGGTATTTCAAAAAAGGTGAGTATTGTAGTTAACACAAATGATTTGACGAGGAAAAGTAGCACTGGTAAATCATGATGTTGATGAACAATGATGAAAACGAGAACAGGAAAAGGAGGCAATAAATAAAAATACGGTGATAGGATCCTCAACATTTAAATGAGGGGAAGGAACAAAGGCATTTGAGTTGCTACAGTTGATTTATCTTCATAAATCATAGTCACACTTCGACCTCAGCACCTCTTGGGACCTCAGACTCTACTATCATCTCAGTAGCGATAGCACGTTGGTTTACCCATATATGCAGACGTACCCAAGACTACAGTGAACATGCCCCCAAATGCCTTGGTATGGCCGAGAATGGGGTGGGCCCGCTCTTCCTCGTGAAATGCTCTCATATGGCCACGCGTATACAGCCTCTGCCAAGGAAGTCCTACTCACTGCCTTCTCGTGGCAGGAGTGTTGTTTACGAAAATGAGAGGACGAAAAGCGAGTGTCCGGTGCTTTAACCGGATTCCAAACCAATGGTGCACATGGGCTCCAGTATCCTGAGGGAACAAATGGCGTATGAACCAATCGTCGGTCACCGGCTACCATGGGACTGAATCTCCTCACGATGCTCCACTGCCTTGTGGGTCAGATCTTTAGGTTCAAAGCTCGGGGTGTGGCCCCCTAAGAAAACCACCTGTTTCGGTCTGGGCACCCGGGCAGTATCACGGCCCACAAACAAAAGTGTGGCGCATATATATTTGGTGCCCTCTTGTACCAATATATATGTGTTCAAATAAATAAATAAATAAATACATTGTGTAGTTCCTAATTTAGAAATGTCAAATTACCGAGGTTATTTACCGTTTTTGACCGTAATTAGTTAGTTAATATAGTGGTGTATGCTACTTATGTCTTTCAACATAAGTGGTATGTAACACTAATCAGAAGCGAAATGTCTAGCAGCAAAGGGTTGAGAAGATTGAAGTAAAGAGAACAGGAATGTAAACAAAGAGTATTTTTAATAACAACAGGAATGAAAGAAAGATGACTTTTGTCAGAGACAATTGATGGGAATTGTGCAAATGAAGTATTTGTGATGTATGGTTTTCACGAAGACATTCTGTAATTTTGTATTAAACAACAAAGTGGTCTTTCCCACCTGAGTTCACGTTCACTACAATAGAATTATGCTAAACATTTCATGACATTATTCTGAATGAAAATAGAATCAATCAGTGTATCAAAAGTGATTAAATTAAAATATTAACACAATAATAGACACAATATATGATTACTAGTAAGAAATTACCGATTTGTTTGATTCAATTGAATCATCCAAACTAGGAGTTACTCCATTGTACAGAATTTCATTATGTGTACTATTGCTATTCACAGTGTTTCGTAATTTATTTTTATAACATAACGATTTTGACATTTTTAAATTCTTTCGTTTTAATTTTTTTAAATAACATGTAGATTTAATTCGGCCATTATTATTATTATCATTATTGTTATCGATAATCGGATTGATATTTTCCATTTTCACAGGTAACAATGATAATTCCGTGGAATGTTCAATATCTGTTGGATTTGGTTCACATGATGTATTTTCTATGGGCAAGAAGAGAACAATGTAATGAGTTGTGGATGGAACAAAGTGTAGTCATTTCATAAATATATAGACCAAAAACTTTCGTATGAAGATTAATGATGAATAAGCTCCAGATGTAGTAGACTCATGACCAGGTTGTTTAAGCGAAACAACTGGGTATGTGTACATTTAAATAAATGATGATAATTCATGAAAGTCATCAAACAATGTTGATTTATGAACCAAGTTTATATGAAGATGGATCTTATTCCAAAATGAGTAAGGGTAGTAGTATGACATTTTTTATCGATAAATAAAAGAGAACTTTTCTCTATTGTTATGGAAGGGAATGCATTTCAGATAACAAATTTTTATCTCTTACGTTATTTGGGTTCTCTTTAGAAAGATACAAGGCATAAGATTTTGGACGATTTGATGTATACTGCAGTTAAGTATCAATCTAAACTTATGAACAATGTGAAATAAGTCTCATTTAAAAGTAAATATTACTGAGTTGTATGCTCGGAGGTATTATTTAGTTGAGGTTCACACGGGTAAAATTGTTACAGAAAAGCAGTTATATGTTGATTTCTTTTAATTTAAGCTTAATCTAATTTCCTGTCATTTTAGCATTCAATTTCACGTATTCTTTTTGAGATAGAATTTGTTATGTGTATCTTCTTACTGCCATAGATAGAATTTATTTTAAATTCTTTATTGTTTAAGAGGTTATCCATCCGTGGTTGCATAACGCATCCGACATTTAATGGGGTAAATAAAGTGTAACTTTTTAAATAAAGTTTTAACGAAACCGTTTACATATAAAGTGGACCAAACATAACTTGGATCGGTTCGTGATATCAATGAACAGAAAACGTTACACAACCAATGGCAGAAGTGGAGAAAATTTGTAGCACAAGTGGGTGATTTTGGTAGTTTTGTTCTCCATCCAACTCAGAGAACGAAACTCCACCACTGACGGTCAACCTATGACGACTGACATTTATTGATTCCTGAATCCTAGTGGTCAAAATTTTCTGGGTATGATTAAAAAATCAGGTGATTGGTTAATTTGTTTTTGGAAATGTGTGCTCGAATGTTCATTGACAGACGCTATCAGATGCAACGTACCCAGGAACACGTTATCGATATCCGTGATAACGTTAAAAACAATACAGCTAGTGCTTTGTAAGTTATTTACGTTCATAGTTTGAAGAAAAGGTGATCACTCGAGGAATGTTAAAGTTTCATATCACTTTTCGGAAATTACTAACCAATAATTACCATTTTAAAACTAATCATTTCATTGGACAAAACGGGATTAAAAATTTTTTGCCAAAAAAAACAACCATCCGATAAATTATATTCATCTACCACTACCCTTTGTTTTATATATGCGGTTAATTTGTTCATCATTTGGTATTTTAATAGAACATGCAGCTATGGATATACGCTAGATCACGAACTCGATTCAACATTGGTTTACTGGAAAAATCCATCTGACAAATGATAGTTATTTTGTGTCCCATTATTTTCGATAGGTTATTCAAAATGCTACCTTGTTAAAACCCCAAAACGTGAATATAAATAATGAATTGTTGAGTTTATTTAAATGATGGTAACAATGTTAATCAGAGAAAGCGCACGCGAGAGAGAGTGAAAAACAACGAGAACTAAGTGAGGCAATACAGACATTAAGACAACTTTTTAGTGTTTGTTAATCGAATATAGTGAACAATAGGTTGAAAACAACAAAGAGAACAATATAAAATATTGATTTAAATAGATCAAATTCTATTTCTATAAACAAATAAAGTGCTATAGCATTTGTGTGAATACGATTTAATCTCTATGCCCTTTGATAGCATTAATAAATTAAAGTTGCGATCAATGCCTCCACATACACACAGACATAAAAACGATTAATTCAAACATGAATTGTATGTTATATTTTCTAAAAAAAGAAAAGTATATTGAGAATAGATAGCGAGAAAAGAGCACCAATTCATATCAAAGAACATTTTGCAAATGAATGCATATTATTGAAAATAGCATACGGTCAAATTATTTGTTAATAGTGGGAGGGGGGTGGCAGATCTTAGAAAGAAAACATATATAGCATGGGTGAATGAAATTAATAACGTAGGGTAGTACGGTAGATAATCGTAGCACAGAAGTGACGATTATAATGAATTTTTATCACAAACTGATATGAACTAAACAGCCATTAAAAATCAGAGGGGATTACACAGTCATTTTGTTCTAGTTCGAGACGACAAAGTAGTGTGTAATTGTGACCCTGACACCAGTAACATAACTTAGAATCTTCAGGCATTGTCAACTTTAATCAGTATATGACATATTATGACAGTCATTCACTGTCACATCATGAGCGCTTACTTCATGTAGAAGTGAGCTGAAACTTAAATCGGTTTGCTTTGCTGATCTTGTTTCAGATTGATTGTCGTCGTAGGTTTCATTACTTTTATTTATGCTGATATTCAAGTTGATTTTTCTCGTCCCAAAACAAAAATGCAAATAATGAAACCTATGACGAAAATTATTCACAAACAAGGGTAACAAAATAGAACGATTTAAGGCTTATGGAACAACTAGGAAGCTCACTTCTACATGAAGTAAGCATTGATGATTTTATGCAGAAAGACAATGAAAACCATCTGGCTTAGAGAATTCAATAACACTAATTTTTCCAAATTTCATAATCTATATAAAACAGCTATTGCCTACTGAATTATATGAATCCTGGGACAATAAGTCACCGAAAAAACGCGCTACAGAAATGAAGCGATCATATTGTAATAAGATGGGTGAAATCGTAATACATTCGATAAGGAAATCAGTGAAAACGGTGTTTAATTAGAGATACAATGAGGTTAAAAACACAACCAGGAAAGATTTCAGTTGGTGGAATTTATTTTATTTTATAAAGAGTAGTAGAAGACTATAACAGGATCGCCGATGGCTTTTATTCAGAGGCATATCTGATAACAGCTCAAGTCACCCAATTTCACAATCCCTACGACCTCGAACAGAGAAGTTATGATGCATCTAAATATTTCAGTCTTATAAAACCGTCTTTCAACTCACGTCTTCATTGCCGTATAACTATGGAAAGGAAGAAGGTTATGAATAATTTCAGTGTGCGATTTCAATTTCTCCAGTTCGGTTGGGCACATTAACTTCGTTAAAGCTTCTTGACAAATGTTTACATGTAATTATCTCATAGTTATAATGAAAAGAATTTGAAAGAATTGCTTTCTTAATACAACTGAACATGTAAATCATATGGTTCAACCTACTTTGAGTGTTCTAGTTTGTAGTTAAAAGTTTTGCATAAAATTTATGTTACTTGTCAGTAGACACAAAGTGATAACTAAAAATAAAAAGGAATGTCAGAAACACTACCTGTTATACGTAATACTAGGGGAAATTAAAATCGAGATGTCGGAGGATAAATGCAAACGCAAAGACGATATATTTTTAAAGGCAAATATAATGAGAAACACATACTGTGATGTTCAGGTAAAGGAGATAATGATTTGTCATTATTCACTCGCCGTTTTTTGAAAACATGATTTTTCTCAAGAGTATCTTGAACTTCATCTGAATGTTTCAATGGACTTGATTTCACTGAATTTGATGAAGTAACTTTATTTTTTCGGATAATTAACTTTGTTGAATGAGAAACAGTATCATGACATACTGCGCTGGAAGATATATTGTGAGGATTGCAATCTTCTTTAGATTCAACCAAAGGTGAGACTTTTGGATGTAAAACACTAAGGGGAAACAAGCCCAGTTCATCAATCGCCTGTGCAATCTTTTTTTCTACTCGATATGATGAACTGACACGTAATTGTTTAGCTATACTTTTAAGTGGTTCACTAGCGCGTGAAGTAAGCAAGTGTGGATCGATTAAGAAATTGTGATTTGTTATCGTAGATCCTGATGACGGATAATTCGTCACTTGTGAATTTATCAATGCGTTTGACGAATTGGTGTTATTGTTATATATGTTGACATGGAGAGCTTCAGATGATATAGTTCCATAATCGGAACTACTAGGATCAGTACATCCTGATTGATTATCTTCAACTTCATTATCTTTTACTGTTCAATAGAAAAAAAAAATGAAGAAATTATGACAAAAGCTTTTCAGAATCTGGTATCACTGAGAATAACAGTGATTGATTAAAACTATTTATTTACATATACTCAGGTGAACAGTAGAATAAGAAAATGTACACATGAAGAGCTTAACAAAATATCAGATAATTTGGTCAATAATATACTAATTAATTCTACTTGTACCTCCTATATGAAAATAATTTTGTGACTATCACAGTCGCAGAAATGCTTTAAATGCACAACAACCAAGATCTGAATACACTGAGTTAATACTAATATTGCTCAGTGATAGTTTATACCTCTGAGACTTATTTTGTTGCTCGAAAAAGTTATATCACTTGAAACATTTACGTATACATCTCTATTTTATTAAGAAAAAAATGTTCACTAAGACCTAACTAACCACCTCCATGGCCCCCAAATGCTCTGGTATGGTCGATGGTAGGTAGAGTCTGCTCTCCCTCTCGAAACGCTCTCACATGACCACATGTATACAAACACTCAGGGAAATCCTACTCACTCACTTCTTGTGGTGAGGTCTTGTCTACGAGATTTAGAGGACGAAAGGCGAATGTCCGACGCTTTAACCAAGATGGTGGATACAAAGGAACCACTTAGAAGAGCAAGAAAACCCTGGTTCCAAACCAATAGTGCACATACGCTTCAGGATCCTGAGGGAACAGATGGTGCACCAACCTATTGTTGGTCACCGGTTACCGTGGGACTGCATCTCTCCACTGTCTTGTGGATAAGACTTCTAGGTCAATGGCTTGCGGGTGGCCTTCTGAGAAGACCACCTGCTTCGGTTTGGGCACTCAGGCAGTTTTCCAGTCCTCACATGAATCAGATGACGAAGTGTGGCGCATGTATATTTGGTGCCGCATTGTACCAACGTTTATGTGTTTAAATAAAAAAGGCATTTGCCAAAAATATTGTTATTGACTTCCCAGATAGTGACTGAGATTACCAATTACTAAAAATCGGTTTTTATAATGGTTTTAATTATAATTGTTGTCACGTACCACTGTGATAAGTGACATTAGCTATGGTAAAAGTGGAAAAACTAGTCAGACATCGAATGGTTATCGGATAATCAGCATGCTAAAATATACACTGAACAAAAATTTGAGAAAATTGTCTGTTTGTTATTACGGCTACTTTTTAAATAAAGCCTTTACAAACGGTAGTTCAGTCAATGATTACAATAAAACAAAAATGAGATGGTGTTATTTTAAAATTAATTTTCTGTAAAATCATTTTATCAAACTAAATACAGGTTTATGTAACACGCTGGCAAGAAATATTTTTTGTATGAGGCTTATCTAAACCCACTTCATATTACCAAAGTTGCACAAAATTGAAATGAGGTAAGAAATGATAAAATACTGATATGTACCACACACACACACACACTAACAGGACAGTCAAAGCTAATATATAACAGTGACATTCTATAATGGTTCAGTTAGAAATTTCTATTTCCTTACTAGTAATATCATTTAAGCAGTTAAAACATGTGTGAGGACAACCATCCTTTTTCAATATTCAATAAAACAAGATATCTAGCGTTTTTGAGTACCTTTCTATTCGTTTGGTATGTCACTGCTAGATATAAAATTGTAGTTTTCACTAGGAACTTCATTTTAATCATTTAGAGATGTCGACTTATGTGAACACGATGCCGTAGCATACCCGAGCTTGCTGGATTGAACAAGTAAATTGTGAAAGTTAAAGTTTGAAACGAAATCCTTTTTAAAAACTATGCTCTTTTATATGAAGTATCCACTCATTAAATGAATGGAAAAATGCTAAACGCTGCACATATACTGAAGATTGAGAAGCCGTTGCTCTATACATTTACGGTCACATATCCTATCTCGCGTATATTATACAGACGAGCTTAAAACAACCACGACGAATTGTAGCCAACTGCTAACTAATCAGAAAATAGATTTGGAGGATGGTAATCAGAACAATAATATTGCAAAAAGTACACAGATTTTAAATAATTAATGCATACATCAAAGTTTGCTACTATGATGTTCTGTCTATAAATTGAAAAAAACCCATCTAAATACTTCTTCATGGGTGTAGAAGGTGAGTTTATTTGAACTTTTATGGGGATACAAACAGATTTTTAAGGGTTTACACAGTCACTGGTTAGGATTTCGACATTTAAGGTTAAGATTAGGTTATAGGAATAATTTCCATGTACTGTATTGCGTACATAGAAAACACTGAACATTTACTATGTTTAACATCATCACATTTATTATATGACAGATAGGAAATAGTTTTCCCTCATGACTTTAAATGTTCTGAATACTATACATAGGTGTATTTCTACTGATTTTATTTCACGTGATATGAGATAAATGTCACCCATTCCTGAATTTTGCACAAAACCCCAACACTCCCTATATTGGTTCTGATTGTTTAGTCCTTAAACTATACTTTTGCTTATTAAATATTTGTTGCTCATAAGATCTATTATTAATACTAGGCGAATTTGTCGAAGAGTATTTTACAAGCGAATAATTGAAATTAATTAGAAATGTAAAAAATAGATACCTACCTTGATTTGTTGTGAAATTTAATTTTCCACTAAAATTTGACAGTATATCGTCTTGATAACAAGATTCCAAAAGGGATTGAGATATTTTACTTAACATAGAAGATTCAGGGACTGGTTTTCTGAAATGAGTGATAAAGTCCAATAAGCAAAGATAATTATACGATTTATCGATCATATATGATAAATGATTGAAAAAGATAGTAATTACAAGTTATATATCAAGGGATTAATGAATAATGAAATAAGTCCCTCAAGAACAACAAACATATGGGAGAATAAGTAGCTTGTTTGTATATCGAAAAAAAGTCGAAACTCTGACTTTGATTTATGGATATAGCAAAGAGCATTAACTTGTTTATGTGGTGTTTTTGGAGACTTCTTATCAGTGGGAGGAGACCAAGGACTTCTTTCCTTAACCGACCTAAGAGTGCGGAAAGAACTTAACAATGGCATTGTTTGAGGATCGCTTTAAACGGCGAATAGACGTAGGTAAAAAATGTGAACAATTGGGTATCCAGTTGTTCAGAGAAGGTCAATATGTAATTGGCATTTACATATTGAATGAATTGCAATCCTGGAGATAATCACCAGGATAACCTTTAGTTTCGGTACAATTAAACTGATGATCAGTTGGCCAGTTATAGACTACTTAAAACCTGATACAAATATATACTTCACATAAGCACGATAAGAGTTGGAGTAAATAAGGTGAAGCGTAAAAGAGTTGAAATGATAATAATGATAGTGACAGTAGTAATAATACCAATAATAATATAGTTGGCAGTACAATATTAAACATGGAAATTATTGATCAAAAGAAATAAAAAAACTGAGGAAACAAAGACTGAATGGGTCTGTGTATGACAATTGTATGAGACAATTAGTTCAATTAGTTGCGAAGTCACGTTACTGCTTTGCTACTGAAACCGGAAAACTTATAATTTCGGTTAGATTCTATTTTTTTCGTACTTTTCTTCAAGCGTATTAATTCACGTAAAAAAAAATTAGAGTGGATAATCATTCAGTGATGAATCTTGACAGGAGTCCACAAAAGGTTTAATAATCAATGAGAATTCGACTAAAAAGTCTAAACAAGATTATTTCTCCAGAAAAATATTGTCAATATATGACTGAATTAAAGTATTAGTAGCTTCGGCTTACAAGTAAAAAAGGAGTCGCTGATGATCAACTATTGAATAAGTGACTGTTTTGACAGTAGGCATGTATACATCTAAACATCGGATCACAACGCCAATTATATAAGAGAACCAATAATCTATCTACTTTCATTTGTGTTACACTTACTTGAGCTCTGTTTCCAAGTATTTGGTTACATTGAGCAATTGAGATGAGGACATGGACGAATTACAGTTATTCAATGAACACAATGATTCGTCTGTAGTGGCCTGTTGAAAAATTTGAGAAGAACCACGTCTAAGTCTTTTGCAAGCTGATAAGAAAAACAAATTAGAATTATGTTATGTTGGAAATAGAAGACAAAAATATAATGACGCCAATGTGATTTAACTACTAGTTTCGTAGGATAGTGTAATTCCTAGTATATACTATTCGGATTGTATGGACATGATAATATCACAGGCAATTCAAAATACTCGGCTACTAAGTATTAAGTACTACTGAATTAATACAACTCATAATAAAAATAAACGAAAATGTGCCCATGAGATGTTCACTTTATGACGTAATCAATCTAAATACCAGACTTGATAGCAAAAAGTCATTCATTGATAATTATGGAGGATAATTACTGTACTTTATACTTTCTAACTTGAAAAGTGTTAACTATATAAATTCATAATGCTGGAGTAGTAATAGGTAAATATACTGTGAAACATGGAATCTAACTGCCGGATTGAATTTAAATTACTGAATATTCTCGGACTAGAAGAAAGCAGTTAATCATGGTTGTGTGTATTTCAATGGCTTTTTACCACAACATTGTGGAATGATAGTATCATAGTTACGACACTCAACAAATAGATCAGCTTTAACCTCTTCGCTCTTAGCATAACTTTTATTTGAGCTGTCGAGTAGTCTCACACTTTCCCTTAGATTAAGTTAAAGCCGAGTACATGAACATTTGCACTTTAAAAAAAAATGAGTGAATGTTTTGTCATAACCTCATTTAATGGCCGATATTATCTTTAAGTTAGTCGGTTCTTTACAAATATCAAATGAGTATAATCACCTAAGATGAAACAACTATATAATAAGAATGTCAGATGAACAATAAGTGAAATGTGTATAGTTTGATAATTAGAAAAGAAAATATTAAGAATAAAACTAATTGAATAATAAAGGGGATAGTTCATATCAACAGTTAAGGCTTACCTGGTGCTTCGCTGGTTTCATTTTTACACGATTCACTTTGTTTGAGTACAGGCAAATGAAAGTAAATTGATTCCAAATGCTGATATGATCGGATAAGGCTTTCTAAGTAACTGACATTCGCCTCCGTTATTTCAGCACAATATGGTTCCATTAATTCCCAGAATTTATTTGGAATAGCATAACTATAGAACGATATAAACACAAACTAAACAAAATTAAAAACTAACTGAATAGAGAATGTTGCATTGATCTATGTAAACAACTATAATAAATCAACAAATCAGTTTGTAAATTAAATTATGAGAGGAAGTGTTTTTATTACCTATATGGTTTGCACAGCGGCCATTCTTTAGTCTACTCTAATGTAGTCTCTTACAACGGGAGTTTTAATAGTCATAAAAAAGCATCGACTGTAGTGTTTAAGGAACATAACATGTCATTAAAAGAGAAATTATGTTTATAAAAATTTTCAAAGACATCACTTCCTATACACACTTATAGACTATTAATCAAATCACTTTTTAGACAATATTACTTTATGGTAATATGAAATTTAACAATATTTTAGAAGTCAAGTGGTACATACATACGTGGTTGTTCAATAATCAAAACTTATAGCACGTAGATAAATAACTAACACATGACAGTTTTATGTTGTAATCACTAGATAATTTTGATTGTGAACTTTTAAAAATTATTAAATGAAGTGACCTGTTAGTGATGAAAGATTATTAAGTTTCTGTTTTACGTCATATGATTAAATGACAATAAAATTGATATTTGAGGATAAATGTATTTTATTTTCTGGCCTTGTAAATGATAACCTAGAAATGCAATTGTTTTTATCTTGAAATAAAATTGAATATACGATAGAGTAATCAAAAAGCTCAATTTGCATAAGTTTTTAGCTCTAAGTGAGTAAATCTTTGATAGTATTTTGTTCTCGATGAAGGATATTCTAGTATAAGAGTAAGTTAGAAGAAAACTAATTGATTATTGTAACCAATAGTTGGAGATTTTGAGTGACATGGATACGAATAGTTCGCAATGGAGAATTTGCATCCACTCCCTATCTTCCTCTACAACCTGAGTCCCAAAATCCCATCTTTCTATACCTAATCTTTTCTAATACTACTGATACTGTTACTACTTCTACTACTCTGGGGTTTTTATTCAAATAATTTTATGCTAATGTGCCAATATGGTATGACAACTCGAACCGCAACACATGCGTCAGGTTCTACATTGTGTTCATTGAGTTTCGTAGTTAAACTGACAAACTCTTAGTGCCATTTTGTAGAAGACTGAGTGTCTATTTTAAATGAAAGAGAAAAATTTTAGGATTAGCTTTTATAATTTCTCTTATTACGACCCAGCTATTCCTGATGCTTAGTATTCTTGGACACCAATTCACTCGACAAGTTCCCAAATCAGAACATGGTTGAACTGGAACGAAATTATATTGTAAATAACAAGGGTAGATGGAAGTAAGAAGCACAATAAGAGAAACGTTAGCATATTTATATTTTTTACATAAGATTCTAGTCTTCTACAAGTATCAACTGGCGCTGATTGGATAAGAAATAGCCAATCAGCATGCAGCAACACAATCGTGTTTTAATCCGATCTCTGCCCGGCTAACATTATCATACGTGGATAACTAATTTTTTGAGTGTTACTGTGAGTTTTGACTCTTTTCAATATTGTTATTACATAGTTTCTGCTGTGACACTTATAGAATAGTTTTAAAATTGACATTTCTGTTAAGTAGATACTGATAACTTGGTGTAGTAATGATAAAACCTATTCAATTTAGAGTACACAAGAATACTATATAGTAGTTGGTGAATAAAAGTATTTTATCTAAGTTTAAAGGAATTATGGAAAAGGAAAAAAACTATTGCCTTGAGACTTCTTGTTATCGCCTTACTTATTTGTACTAAACAGCTCCGAAATGTACTCTTAATTTATTTTGACTTGATAACAATACGAAATTTGTAATCTTGGTATGTCTACGAAAGCTAAATTGGATTTTATGATGTGTCTTAATGAAAAAATAAGTCATTTTAGAGATGGTAAAAACTTTTTTACTTAGTTTGGAAAATACAAAAGAGGGAATTGAGCGTGGATGTTGACTTGTCGTCTAACTTGCTTTGTTTGTTTTGTAAGCCCTAGTAGCTAAAATGAGTTTTTTTTTCAAAAACAAACGGCATATAATAAAAATCCGATATATGAAGCTCAGTTTCTGGAAGTATTAAAAATAAGAAACTAACCTGAAAGATTTTGTTGGTTTACTTCTTTTAATAATAAAATTAGCCATGTAAAAGAATATAAACCTTTATTTGTGTATACTTTCCTGTTGATGAAAATAGTTCTTCTAGTGGACTAAAGCATCATATATGTGGATATTCTTAGTTAATTTATTAAATAAGTTGTACAGTCTCCTACCGTGATACTTTTTGTTATATATCATCAAGTTAGTTTTATATATGATTGGAAAGGTAGAAGTGGCCGGTTGAATGCATATGGCATGAAGACTTAAATAGTTTAGAGTTAAATTGTGGGATTAAGTCATGAAGGTCACACTAAACATGATAACAAAACATGACTGTCAGAAGAGTATTTAAGTATATTTCATCTGCCTTAGAAAATCACAACTAAAGGACTAGAAAAAGAAACCGTCAGAGACCCTTAGAGAAATCTTTTAAGGACTCGATGGATTCTGTTCAGTAAATATACATGTGAAGTCCGAGCGACGACCTGAGCTTTCTCTACTAACCAACATTAAGTCATTTTTGCATTTGTTACACTTATTGAGGTTACATTATCATACTTCATATACGTTTACTGAATAACATAATATTTTTGTAGTTCAGAAGCTGATATAATTAGAAAACCAGTCTTTTTTGACTGAAAGTTCATGGGACATTTGCGATCATGATTAATAAAGATAAAGATTTCGTTTGGGCTCAATCAAGTTGTAGGAAACAAATGAAAAGAATTTCTCTAGTGAAATGCACAGAATAGTATATTTGTGGTGCCAAATAGATCAACAGAAAGATATCTAGTTACTAATATGGATATAAACCCCAATAATTTGTTTAGCAGAAGGTGCTAAGGCTCCTTTTCTTAATATCTGGGACTGAAAACTCATGAGGAAATACTCATCGAATAGACAACCGACTGACAAAAACATTATCCAACAGTAAAAAGAAAAAGAAAAATCGTAATAACTTTTTAGGTGGTTATTTGTGGGTTGTAATATAAAATAGACTGTAACAGCAAAAACATTACCTTGCAGATAACTGATTCTTGTCAGATGTGGGGGAATTCGCCTCAGGTGCTTCTTCAACGGACGACTGAAAAAAAGCATATACAGAAGTATAACAAGCTCCTAAGATAGTCAAAACCTAACTGTTATTAGTACATGCTATTCATAAAATAACCCTGTCAGTAAAACACAATTACTTAATCACCCTCCAATTGAAGTAAAAGTTCGATATGTTATAATAAACGAAGACGGGACAACAAACTATACATTGAAGGTGATTACCGAGAATCGGATACCACATATTTTGGGAACAACTCTACTATATATCTACTTATTTCCCGTCTCCGTGATTTAGTTTATACAAACAGTATTATTTGAACTTGTATTGACCAATATATCACTTATCTGAAGTCCTACGCTCATTACGACCTGAACAAGAACAGCTGCATCTTTATTTAAAAGAAGCTGTTCACTGAACTCAGTAACTACCAACTCAGTTTACTTCTTGCTCCTGACAAAAACTAACTAGTATTATACTACATATTAATGAAAAGTAAAAAAGCTTTTTGACCAAGGTGAAAGTTTCATGAATATTTATAACATCACTAGATGTAGCTCTGTATATTATTTGCAAGGAACGAGAATTTCGCAAAACCAAAAATGAGTTGAATCTTAAAATGATTTGACTGTGTAACCGGAATTATCTCCCACTTTCACATAAAAAGTGAGTCAACGACGAATACACATATCCATATTTGGTTACTGAATTACTTCGCTAACATATATCAGTGCTTCGTTGTAGTAAATCTAACAATCTCATATAAAGAAACACTGAAATCAAGTCCTATTTTAGAGTAATGATAAATTATGAAATATTAGAAAAGAATTTACAAATGAAACGATTCAAATATTATCTTACCCTGCTGGACCGTCGCAGGCCAAATGCACTCACCGAAGGTTTGGCCTTGCTAAGTCCACTAGAAATAACAGGTAGTATTGACTGAGAATTCGGACAAGGACCTGAGCGCTGAGATATTATTAAAGTAAGTGGTTTGTCAGGATTAGCTTTAACAACCAACGAAGATTTCGAGAGACATTGTTGATTAGATTCAGGCTCACAGCTTCCTTTTTGATATTTTAGTGAAGAAATGATATTAACAGGTAAACCCTTCCCTTTGGACTCAGCTTTTAGGCAAATAACACGCTCTACTACGCTAGCCAGAATTTGCTCCAAATCCATTTGGATTGAAGATAAATCCAGTAAGGGCAATTCATTACATCCGGCAACTGCAAGAGTAAGTCATTGTAAAAGAGATTACCTTTTATGAGTGTGGGATATGATGACTCCAGATCCTCCAAACCATGTTTACTGAAACAAAAATCACACGAGGGCTGTGTGTTGCTAATCTTTTTCTTTCCCATTTATCGACTCACTGACATTCTGCAAGAAATTTAGAAGTAATGCGGACGGATTCAGGTAGACAAATACAAAGTAGGATTTATGAAAATTGTAGATGGGAATTGTCAGCTATCGGACTAAAACTCCACTAGATGTCGGGAGTAAACCGATGGTACAATCAAATGAATGATGCGCAGATGATCAGCTTCTTTAAAAGAAATACACTAAGCTCCTAAACCACATAAATTCTGTTTTCCACCCGTTGGGATATTACAAACAAATTATTTTATTATCGTAAACGATCCACTGATTGTTAGCTTTGTTTGATAAAACCACGCCAAACCTTGGAAGTAATACGATATCGATGGTAGTGAAAGGAAGTAAGTAGAAAGTAAGATGTATAAAATGACATTAAGATGGGAATGCAGCAGGATATAAAGACAGGTTAGCATTTCTACAATCTAGTTTAATCTACGTTATCTAAGATTTCCAACTACACCCAATGACAATCTTAAGGGACCAAACGCCTCTAAATGCCCTGGCGTGGTCGATGGTAGGTAGAGTCTGCTCTCCCTCTCGAAACGCTCTCACATGATCACATGTATACAAACACTCAGGGAAATCCTACTCACTCACTTCTTGTGGTGAGGTCTTGTCTACGAGATTCAGAGGACGAAAGGCGAATGTCCGACGCTTTAACCAAGATGGTGGATACAAAGGAACCACTTAGAAGAGCAAGAAAACCCTGGTTCCAAACCAATAGTGCACATACGCTTCAGGATCCTGAGGGAACAGATGGTGCACCAACCTATTGTTGGTCACCGGTTACCGTGGGACTGCATCTCTCCACTGTCTTGTGGATAAGACTTCTAGGTCAATGGCTTGCGGGTGGCCTTCTGAGAAGACCACCTGCTTCGGTTTGGGCACCCAGGCAGTTTTCCAGTCCTCACATAAATCAGATGACGAAGTGTGGCGCATGTATATTTGGTGCCTTCTTTTACCGATGTTTGTGTCTATATAAAATAGATGAAAATAAAGGAACCGGACCATAAAGTTTGGAACTGCCTGCAAGGCTCATGACTGAAATTAACTTTATGGACTGATATTATTTCTTGGTCCTAGTGGCGCCAACAACTTTCTAATCGAATACTTCCGTTAACCAATATAGCTCATTGGTAATGTCTAAAAGATATGTCTGTTGCAGCGAATGGAACTTATTAAATGTATACCTACAGAGAGGGCTAACGCATAATATACCAGATTTTGTTGGATAAGTGAACGTCTAGTTTATACCCGAAGTTGAATAATTTGGTGGAATCCAAACGAGCTTATGTTAGGACTAACAAAAGCGTCTTCATTTTCTCGAAATCGAAGACAAAATAAATCGAACTGGTCAAAGTGAATAAAAGATATAAACTTTTATTCAAAAAATACTGGGCTTTTGTGAAAGTTAAGCATCAACAAATAGTGAATCAGAACTAATATTTTAATGAGGAGACAACGATTAACGTTAGAAAATCAGACTCGACCTTTACGAAGACCCCAATTGCAAGAACTAATGCAAACTGACAACTGTCCATTTCTGGAAAAATCGAAACCAGAGATTTACATAAAGTGGAACACGACGGCAGAATATACGTTGACCATTTATTTTAAATACATATAGATTAAATTTAGCATCTTAAACAGCTTCGTCTCAGCACTTGTTCTCCATAATACCAATGGTAATTTGCTGGCGTAAAGCCTGCAAGTATTGTTGCATTTTGAAATCATTGGTAATCTTTAGTGTCCTGTTACAATAACAAAATACAAACGAAATCAGCTTGTGCAACACTATGGACCAAGTTATAAATGACTGCTATGGTTGAGGACGACTTCGAGCAGTAGAGTTTTTTGTCCAATAAAAACAAACATATGAGGAACGAGTGTTCCGAAATTATAAATCTAAATGCTCCAAAGAATAGTTTTCTTCGTCAGTGAAGGAACACCGATTAATGAGGACTTCACCAACTTACTAAGTTAAACTTTAACCAAAAGAACATCGTAAAGTCTTCTCAATATTACTTTGAAAATGTCAATAAGACCTGAACACTTACGGAAAAGTCAACATGAGTTTTACAGTCAAATTTACGAAAACGGCGGTTGATGAAGCTGACCCTCGGTCTTCAATCTCCAATTATACAAGATTCTGATTTAGACTCGCACATTAAGGACAATAGGTCAACAGCTCGTGCCTTTTACGTTTCTTAAACTTAGGTGAGTGCCTAGTCTCCTTATAAAACTGACTGAATATATGGACTTCACTAGTAAGTTCAGAGAGTTGAATACACTGGGATAAATCATGTATGACACGTGTATTTTTTTCTTTCTTGTCTTTTGAACTTCCTTATAGTGTTCCTTGAGTTGTTTTGATATAGAAGAAACAGTAAGAAAAGGCACATGTTGTAACTTACATCTTAGCATTGCAAACATTAAAATCAGATTATCAATAAATCCTGAGATGAAAATTAAAAGGTTTAACATCTCAAGCGGCAACGTGCACAAAGCTTAGGAATTCCAGAGTGGCCCAGGTAGTTGTTACCTCTACCTTCTGCAAAATATTTTAATCACCTTCCTACAGGGGCTTACAGCCAGAAAGGTATTTTCAAATTAGGGTAAAACTAAGGCTGTGCATACAGTTGAGAACATGCTTATATTCAGCCTGGTAATTACCCGTCAAGATGTCTATAGAACCCTTACCTTCTTTGCTAAACCTGCACAGTGGTGGTTCTTCAACTCAAGATTGTGATTTGCTGTAACGCCTCGGTCGCTGTAAGGCAGGGCTATAGTCACATAAACTTCCTATCGCTGTTGTTATTTATCTTTTAAAGTTCACTGTGATTGTTGACATAAGTGGTCGTGTAAATAAGCATTAGTCGTAGTTCATAGAACCTAACCCAAATGTCTAGGTCGACCTGGAGCACATACTCATTTGGATACTCTTTTAGTTCTCTCCAGATTTTGACGTCATTAATGTAAAATAGCTTTGATAACTTAAAAATAATCGGGGACTTATCCTAATAATGTATGAAAAGTTAAAAACCTGGAGCAAGTTTTTGAGGTAATGTGTTAAGCGTCGGTTTCCACAACAGCCAGAGAGAAACGTGCAGGGGTCGTCGTATATGCCTAATGAAAGTCAAAATGGAAAGTCCATGATTAGTACCATATGTTATCACTCATTAGGATTTCATGACTGAAGTTAGTTGAAATTGAGTTAAATTCGATCATAAATGGTAAGGCAAGTTCATTATTTATCCTATTTGAAGTTCGGACCTGTTTTACACACTTAAGAATTTTTCTTGTTTCAGTCAGCTTGTTAGGTCGTTCTGACACTAAACGTGAATCATATCTAAGTCTAGTGAGTTAAAATAATCCCCAATGACTTTAGACAATTGTAATTCATGGAGAGCAGTGACAAATGTGTTCACGTTACTAGAACTACACTTGGGATTTCAATCAGAAAAATGAACTTAACATAGCTAATTTTGTTTAAAAGAGCACGTGGAGTAAACCAAGTGTAGCAGTAAATGAATCCCAAAGCTCTGTAAGTCTTCGACATTGGATGCTGACCACTTTAGTTTTAATGGACTCACCTAGCTGAATGCGCTCGGTCATGCATTCACACCAGATCACGAGTGGGAACGCCGTGCTCAACATCCCTTGCAATCGCCAGCCAGATTAGATCAGACGATCCTCGATATATCGATAGTCTATCAAATATATCTTCGAACCTCCTTGCTTCTGTCTTTTAATTTCACTTTGTGTACACGATTTATAGTACGTGTTACTGGTTAAAGTGTTGTCAAACTCCAAATACATGTGGCATCTTCACAAGGATTATGAAGCTGAATAGACTAGTAGAATTATGGTCTACTATGATATTAGTACTGCTCTAATAATAGACCTAATCCTAAAATTGTAGATTTGTCATGATGTAACTGCCTAATCTATAAGATCTTACGTGGAAGTCACACCATCGACTACACCAACTCACTGTATCGTATCAATTACCAATACATGATGTAGAACAAGGTTAGGCTAGAGAAGGAACAATATATTTAATATGAATAGATGATATAAGGTAACATTCAGATGGACCACGCCTGCATGGCTGAGCCATGCCATCCGACCAACTCCAGACCATTCAATTCATTTTTCGCTCCTTCTCCATCGTTAGGTGTTTCTCCGCGTTAGATATTGATTATCTACTTTCCGAGTAATCTCGTATTCAGCTTTGAGAATTGTGTGGTTATGGTCCAATGCCACTGCAGACTCATAAAGCAGTGGGTCAAAGCACAGTTTATGACTTGTAGTTTTTCTGAATTATCTTAGAGATAGTTTTGTTCAGTTTTCCTTTTCTAGGTGGACGAGTAGACCGTTTATTCCGGTTATTTGTTGTACTTTACTTTCTGTTGGAGAATCTCAATTTAGCGAAGTAGCGAAAACTGCTGATTGTTGCTACTTCTAGCACCTGATATGAGCATTTGCGTATGCAACTGATATACAGAATTGGCCTATGTCCTGGCCCTTGTTAGTTTCACAGTTGTTATAACTGAGTGTACTTTTAGCGTCATCATCAGAATAAATAAGAATGGAAATAATTTTTATATTACATTGTTCATCTCTGAATCCAAGTTACATTTTCACTTATCTGTTCCGAACATACTTCATGAAAGTGATATTTTCCTTAAAGAATGAAGAAATCATTTCTTGGAAAAATGTTGGTGAGGTTGAAGTATGTACTATTGACAGTTGAGTGGATAAATCATCAGTGTGATTAATTTTTTATGTTGCAACATTGTAATAATAGCAAGCGTGTCTTGAAAACCAACAATCAGTTGCTTACTCAACAATCCGACTTGCAACCCGCCTGATTTATTTGATTTCGCTTACCGCGGGCCTTTGAGGGTATCAGGTTCAGTGAAGCTTAGTTTCCAAGTTAATGAGTTAGGACTATTACTTGCAAGTGATAGTTTCCGTAAGTATAGCTGATTCCAAATTTTTCAGTTAGTGACTCAGCAAACTTACTGTGGGAACTTCAGAAGAAAAAATAATTATGGATGTTATATCTTAGTAGAATGGGCGACCAAAATCATTATTAAACTTCACAGATACTTGTCAATGAGAAAGTCCCAATCATCCTATCTCTTCTACTTTCGACTAACATTTTCACGTATTTCTTTGTAATAGATAATCATTCTCTAGGGTGACATCGTTCATTTCCGGTCGCGTTGCTTTTCCTAATGATTCTGAGCGTATTCGATATGATTCACGAGTTAGGGCTTGATGGTTTGCGTGTCCACGAGAAAGAAGCATGTCGAAGCTGGATGACTGAGGTCACAGGATCGGCTTGTTCTCTAGTAAGCACATTCAACTACTGTATTATTTATCTGCTCACTGTAATCCAGAAACTTAATCCACCATGCAAATTTCTGTGTGTGTATGATTGAGCACATGTTAATTTTTAATCTATTCTCCCTTTGGTTGTAATACACAGACAATCAATAATTTATCCATACTTGATTAACACTCATAAATATATATGGATTTTAACACTCACTCATACACGCACACACTTGGTTTCCCTATGTGCTTGCTTCCTGTACGCTTGCGGAATTTACCTACTTACTTACTTACGCCCGTTACTCCTCGTGAAGGAGCATAGGCCGCTCACCAGCATTCTCCATCCAACCCTGTCCTGAGCAATCCTTTCCAGCTC